TGTAGGAAGCTCTGCACACTCAGGCAGCCGCGAAACATTTGGTGATGTCCATTGCCTGTGCTGTAGGCACTTCTACCCCAGCCAGGCACAGCTGATGAAGCGGGGAGTGGTACCCTTACGCAGTTGTTTCATTTAGCACAGCAGAGCACTATGGAGACCTGCACCAGGTGGGTGGCTACGTGTGCTGTTCGCTGTTCTGTATGGCGCAGGTTGAGATCACTACGTTAGCAGTATCCTGAGAAGATGCAGCTGCCGCAGATCACCTGTGGTTCTCTTCACCCAGCTCCTCTGCAGACGCGGGTCTGTCTCCAGCCATCTGCACACCAAATTATTTCCACCCACTGATAGAAGAATATGAACGGTTCCTGGGTTGAAAAGTCCCAGCTTTTTGTTGAGTGAAAGTGGATAGATTTCTGTGTCAGGTCACATCTGTGTTGGTGATGATAATTTTCAGTTATCCGCTGTTAGGCTATTGCATTGAGGGTAGTGGAGACAGCAGTACCTCTGTCCTAGCAAAGTGTTGGGTTACATATGGTGAGTCAGTAGGTGATGACACATTTCTCGCCGTCAGTAGAAATCTCAGATGTGGGGGATGACGGGTGTTACGCCAGTGTTCAGCTGGGAGCACAGCGGTGCAGTAGTACTGTTCAATGATTGTCGTTTTCATGTCAAAACCCCTCTCTTGTGGACTGTGAAATCTTAAGAGAAGAAGGAAAAGGTTTAATAAGGTCTGAACTGTCTCAAGGCCCTCATTTGTCTAACTGATTGTATTTCAGGAGATGTCACAGCATGCACATGCACTTAATTTATCTGGTAGCTACAGAAATTAAATGACGTAAGGGTCCATACAGTAAAGCGTGGTGGCATCACAGCTGGCATCACCTGTGGCTGGGGGGGGAACCCTGAGCGTGATGGGGAGGGCAGGAGTGGGGCTGACCCAGTCTTCTGTTGTCCTTCTGCCTTCACTGTAATTTCCACTCACCTGGTAGGCAATTACAGAGGGGTTATGTGTTAGAGTATCAATTAAAGGTAGTGTGGAGGATTGAGACATTCCCTACAAAGGTAAATTATTGAGTAGTAATAATCCAGTCGGACAACAAGGGAAACAGTGGGGTCTATGTCTCTAAATTGAAGAGACAGGAATGCAAGGTACCCCTTTTTTCTTGGTTCCTGCTGCTTGGGACTCAATCAAGCTTTGAATAATCCCCGTAGTTTGCCCTGTTTAGCGCTGATCTAGCTCTCTGTGTGGTGTTGTCCAGAGCACAGCAGGCTCAAGCCTACTCCATGTACCTGCAGTCCAACTGGTTTGATGGGAAGTACCATCTTGCCTTGAACTGCAGAAGCACATTTGCTAGCCAGTTCTGAAAACCAGGTGCGTACCCCCAGCTCTCTAGCATTGATGGGAACTGGGGGCTTGGGGGAGCCTTGAATTAGCTGTGTAGTAAGGCAGTTCTTCCTTCTAAGGTAGGTCCTGTGGTCTGCTTTGTATTAAGAAAGCTCCATAAAATTATCTTTGAGAACAGCAAGACTTTTTTTTTTTAAACGTGATTTTTGTTAATTTAGCATCCTAGAAGTGTAATAGCCTTGTGAATACAAACGAGTGTAGCTTTGCAGCATTTCAGTCTGGCATGCAAGGTTATTTCCATCTTCCCTTTTCAGACAACAAGTTGCGGTATAGAGTCTGTGTAGCCATAGAATAACCTGTTGGAGTCAGGAGTCTGATGCTCAGTGCAATGCCTTATGCACTAAATAGTATATTTCTTAATTTTCAACCGCTCTAATTCTGTCTCTTGGAGGAGCCTTTAAAGGTATAAACTGTGTAGCAGGTATTCAAACTGGAAAACCTGATACCTGCGGGTTGGTGCTGGTGGTTGGCCGTGGAAGCGGCACTGTTTGCGTGCTTTAGGTTAGGCATCTTCGTGATTGCTTTTGTAAACCGGGTGCTAAGAGCTGTTCTTCATAATGTCACTTTAAATATGTTCTGTGTGTATCAGCTTTGCAGACCTGTAAGTTAGCAGTAAACAGATTTATGTTAAAGGCACCACTAAAGGAATTACAGTGAGCTTATTTTTTTCATCAGGCTGTCTAGATTCGTTTGCCCTGGTTGTCACTGGCGTATTTAAGCACTTAGTGTTAATTCAGGATAACTTCAAGTTTTAACTGAAATGAGAGTAAGGGCCATGGGTTCAATATTTACGCTGTTGTTTAAAGCAGTGCTTTCACATTTTCTGCTTTCTTGTCCGAGATAAGTGCTCCCTCCACAGCTCTTCTGGAGAGCAGATTTGATTTGATGGAGTTCTTTTTTCAGCTGCCGTTCCCTGATTTTTCTCTTTATTGTTAGAGGCTTTTCAGTTTTGTAAGATAAAATAGAAGCTATCGTATATGTGAGCCCACTTGAACAATGTCTACAAGTTGTAGTATTTTATTGTTTGTGATCTCTGTTGTGATAGTAGAAAATGCATAATCTGTTGAAATTTGGAGTAAGCCTTTCAGCTTGGGTCACTGAGAGGTCTGCTGAATATTTGAGCATGGAAGTCTTAGGTAGCTGATGAAAATACTATGGTAACAACAGAGTTATGGTGTGATTTCCCTCCCTCCCGCTCCCTGCAAAGCTAGTTTTTCTCAGATGCCTTGATTTGATAGAAATACTGAAAGTTGACCAGAGCAAAGTTTTTGTGGTTGTTAGTAGGTTTTTCTTTTTCACTATTTATTTAGTGTAAGGCAGAGTTATGGTGTATAGTTCTTAAATTCATGTACTTGGTTATTACTAATTTTAAAGAAGTCCCAATATATAGAAAAAGTTATTCTGAATAGGAAAAAAAAAAAAAAGAATTTACCATCACTGTGTCAGTGCTATCACAGCTTTGGGAGTCTTGGAGCTTTCCTAGCAGACATTTGGGCCCTCAGACCTGTCTCTGTCTCAGTGCCATGCTTACACACCTTTTAAATACAGTTTGTAACTACCCCAGAATTGGGGTCCTTTTCTGATAACAATTTTTAAATCCATTTAATGGAAGCATCTGCGTGCCTACATAAGAACGTTTTACAAGTGGCTTAAATCTAACACAATTAAAGTGTGTTTGCTGAGGAATTTTCAATGTTTAACTAAATGAATTTAGAAATAATTAGTTAACAGCACAGCCTTCTGTTTAGGCAAGACTTTAATTTCTTATTAGGGGCAGAGGGTGCAGCTCGGCTGCCTTTTGACAGAGGACCAACTGAGCTGTCAAACCCTGTAGAAGTATTTAAATGAAAGGATTTTTGTTAACATGGCAATGTTTTGGGGTGGGTTTTTTCCTCCTTTTTTTTAACTCCACAATTTTACAGTCGGTATCATTAGAATCATTAGGTAAGCTGTGTTGCACATCTTTTGTCTTTTTGTATATAATTATTAGTTTAAATTACATACTATTGATTTATTTTAGCATCTAAAATGAAAAGACAAGATGAGAAAGTTTTAGAAATATTATTTGCTTCAGTTAGCTCTGGAAATCTTTAGGTTGCTTTTGCTGCTTTCTCATTGTATTAATTGTCTCTTTAACATTGCACAGAATGTTTAATTTCCTGTTTTTTAGACTAAATATAAAAATAGAGAAAACAAAAGTGACAGGACAGTGATCACTAAAGCTTTGATACGGGGGGGGGTGCTTAGCCCCCCGAGATGCTCACAGTGTACGTACTACAATAAATATTGTTGTTCATTAATTTCTAATCACTTTGTGACACTGTCAGTGGAGATATTGTCTGACATGAGAAATCAGGCAGCAGGAAGGAAAAAACCATGCTGTGCATTTATGCAGTGCCCTGACATGACATATTACAGCCTCGCAAAGGCTGACAACAGCACATACACTGGGAGGCCAGGATGACTTCAGTCTGAGCAGATATTTTTTCACTGAATTTTGAGTAAATGCTGTATATAAAGGCTAAAGAAAAAAGAAAAGCTCTCCTCTCGGTTTAGTTGTACAGGGAAGGCTTGTATTAGCAAAAAAATCCTGGTTTGGATCAGAGAGGTGCAACACTTGGAAATGTTCAGTGTGTTTTGTGATGGGCTTGTGTATGTGCAGCTCACATCTCCCTTAAGAAAGGGGTTGCATGGCATCGCTAGAACACCGAGGCTGGAGGTTGCCTTCCAGGTTAGTACTTCCACTTCTTCAGGTATTTTAACCTTATTTCTTCCAGGGCAGCCAACGTATTTGAATCCGTCTGCCAAGTTTTGAAGAAGTTTAAATTCCAATTAAGAGTGACAAAGAGCCCTCCAAACTTTCTGGCTTGCATGGCGTGGAGAGCATCTTGAGACCCAGCGCTGCTTTGCGAGGCAGCAGCAGGCAGCTTGGCGCAGCTGCTGGGTCCTGCCGCTTTCCCGGGCAGTTGTGGAGTGAAAGCAACAAAAATTCATTCAGTCTCACAGCTACTCTTTTAATTCACGATGGCAGCCCTAAACCCATCCAGAGCTGTTTGTCACCCTGTTGTTCCTGAGCTGCAGGCAGGGCAGAAGATGGAGCCGTGTGATGAGGTTACCTTGCGGTGGGAGGGAGGACCAGGACGGTTGTTTGGAGGTGGAGAGGAGGAATCAGGGTGAGCTAAGCAGGGGGACTGAGAGAGAAAATGTGCTTTCTTACGTAAAAAAACATTCATAAACTTCTGTTTTTATGACTTACCTCGATGAGTTAGATGTAACTTTTTTTTATAACTTACAGACAAAATCGATTCCTTAAACTGCAAGAACAGACAACACTGGCTTGTTTGCGATTATGATTGAGTTATTTAAAAAGAAAACAGTTTTCCTCAAGGTAACTTGGAGAGGAAGGAGAAGAGCACCATGATTTGTACTGATTTGTGTTGTGTGCTAAAAAGTTTGTAATTTCGGGACAGTGGTGAGTAGCAGGACTTTAAGTCTTCTGCCTGCAGCTGGGGACCAATTAGGGTGATTTACTCTAAATCATCTCTGGCGTTTCCCATTTGATATATAGCTAAATCTTCTTTACATTTTAGGATGTCATCGGTCAAGTTTTGCCAGATGCAACGACAACAGCATTTGAGTGTAAGTATGACTTGTATAAACTGTCTCCTTTGTCACATTATAGGGCTGTCATTTTTTAAATAAATAAATGTTTATGTTCATTATACGTTACAGTTAAATATTTATGCGTTGATGCAAGTTTAATGATGATACTGAACTAAGCAATATTTTATTATTTAATCACATCTTGAATGAGCGTATTTCTACAATATAGCTTTAATTACCAGCATGACCTTACCATGCTCTTACTCCTCACTGCAGTTATATTGCTTGAATTAAATGAAAAGTATAAAGCACCTGTAGGTCTAAGTTTAAAATTTTAATCTTCCATTGGAAGAAACCAAAAGAGCAGCAGCTTTTACAGAAATATGGTACAACATACAGATTTTGTACCAAATATAGCAGCATTAGAAGTTAATGTTTCCTTTCACTGGAACAAACGTCTGTTTTTTGCTAGGAGGACTGCTGTGTTTTTAGTTTTCCTTTTTTCCTTCTGCTGGGCTCAAGCTAAATACATCATCTTCTCTGTCTCCTGTGCAAGAGCAGGAGGTGTCAGTAGTTATTCAGCTTCAGCCCTGGAGGAGGTGTGAGAGCAGCAGGAAAATGGCACCTGGTTAGACTTGGGCAGTAGTAATAATTTCTAAAAAGCCATGTGGGTCTGGCTGAGAAGCTGGGGAAAAATAGCTTCTGCGTAGGATCTGAGCAAGCTGTAGGTTGAGGTTGTCCGTAATGGCACTTGCACATCATGAAGGTGGTTATATTATGCTTTTGCTGAGTTAGGAAAGCTCTCGGTGGGTATGTTAGTACAGATTTAGACCTATATCTGCTAACATCTATTTCAGCTCTATTCTTTGAACCCTGTTCATTTTTATTTTTGGAGGGATTCCTGGGGAATTGTCCTATCTGGAGAGCAATAAGCTGCAAAGGGGAATGAAACATCTGTGTCTTAGGGTATAAGATACTGAGCTAGAGTTTTCTTCCAAGTGGAGAAGAAATTCTGCTATTCCCTTTTAATGTTTATTATAATTTTTTTTCTGTGTAACTCTGTTTTCCTTTGATTAGAGATGAAATAGCAAGAAGGAGCTGGAGGGGATTAGAAGTGTTACATGAGTAAGGTAGTGATGCTGAAGGTGAGAGAGCAGATACGACAAGATAGGGCCTTGCATTCTTATTAGCATTTCTCCCCTTCTTAGAGCTTTATGGATAATTCTGCCTGTAGATAATCAAAGGAAACATTGGTTTATGATCCTTCAAGTACTATTTAGTGCTTTCCATTTTTCTTTTCATATGTTTGTGTTTTCCTCTCCTAAAATACCAGAAACCTAATAATGGAGGTTGTAAGTGTTATTTCTCTGTAGCCTTGACATTTCTCCTGCCCTACTTTTTAAAACAAGACTTTCTAAAGAGACCTGAGCAAAACCAGGCTCCAGACCTTGCCATTTTTTTTGGTTTTATGATTTGTTAATTTTTTTTTTTTTTACATACCTCCCATATCACACATTAGCTTTGTCTGAACTTCATGCACCAGTAGCAGTCGCTGCAATCAGGGCAGTAGCCCATATTAATGGTACCATGTGTAGAACTTTCCTGGAAATACTTATTTCGTTGTGTCTTCTAACATCTGCTTCTGTGCTTTCAGTTCATGTCTCTAGTCTGTCATTTACATCTGCACAAAACCATTTCCCCTGCCATTTAACTGGCATCTAAAATATGTTATGTATATTGATGCTTGATTTTTCTGGTTACTTTTTCCATATCAAATGGAATCAAATTTTACCGGCTTAAGCTTCATTCTCACCTGCTTCACTGCTTCTTCAGATGTGGATAATTGCCATCCAGTGCAGGCTTCTCTACTGTTTGTTTAGTTATTGTTATCTACAGTGTACCATCCATTGCAGCTCCTACCTGGGGCTGCACTTCTCCTACTGTTGGACCTTTATGTGGATTTCACCATTGTATTACACATCACTACAAATAAAATCACTAACAACATATGGCCTGTTATGATCCTTTTATCCAAACTCTGCCATTTTGTATATTTGTGACACACTGCAGATTTTGTGAAGATTGCTTCATAATATTTGTTTACCATCTGCTGCACTCTATTTGGTATCTTGCAAGGATTTCTTCCTCCATTTTAAGTGACATTAGCAAAATCCAGCCAATACGTAGGATTTTTTGGTTCTACTTTTGCTTCCCTAATGTGCTGGAAAATCGTATTGCTGTGCTCTAGGCAAGTAGAGAAGCCTGGAAATCTTCCTGAACCCATGTGTCATATCTAGCTAGTTTTTGGGCTGTGCCCACTTAAATGTCATGATAGGGTGTCAAAGGATCTCTGCACAGATATGAGAAATATATTTTTTTCTGGTTTTGCTCTTTACAAACATTGCCTGGCTATTTTAGATTTGGCTTTTTTAATGCCAGGTAACATTTTCTGCCTTTTCATCAACATATTTTTAATTTATTCTTTTTGTACCACCATCAGGAATTTTGCAGTTCTGAGAACTTCAGAGTTAATTTCTTAATCATTTGAAATGAATAATGTGTGAATTTTTTTTTTTATTTTAATAAACATTTTGCAAATGGGCTATAAGAGTTTTCCAGCTTTTTTTTTTCATTTTTGGTGGTGCCAGCTCAGTTTGTTCCCTCAAGCCAGACTTGTTTAACAGCTTTTATCTCCTTATATTCATCTCTCTCTGTCATGTGTTTCCCCTCTTCTGCATTTTACTCTGATCCCTTCTTGTTGATGCATGGCGTTCGTTGTGTTCACTATTCCAACAGCTGCTTCTTCAGCCTTTCTTACTCCGTTACACACTGCGACTGGGACTTGGGTTTCGGCCAGGTAGCAGTTTTACAACTCCTCCTCCTTTCTGCCTAAAACGTTTCCAGGCAAGGAAGCATTCAGTTTCAACTCACTAACTCTTCTTAATCTTTTCATCATTCATGACTCGCTGCAGGCTGGTAACCCTACCAAGTAGTTTTAGCAATCTGGCAGTTCACCAGTTAAATATCCATGAGACAAGGCTCTTGTAGGACATCACTGTGCTATCTCATTCCTTCCAGCTTCCATGTTTCCAGTGTCCCATAGCTCTCTTTTGGTACATTTTTGAAGTGTAATTGTAAGGTTTTTATGTTACTTTTTTTTCTTACTATTTCTCTCTTGTTGTTTTGCTCTCTCTCTGCGTTGCTTTGCTTTTTTTGTTATAGCCTCAGAATTACCTGCAAGGTTTTCAGAGGCAAAATGAACAAACTGCTTTTCTCGGGTAATTTTAGTTTGTTGACTGAGATCTCTTCCTGGATTCTTGTGCATAACGAGGAGCAAGAGTGAGTTTTCATCCAGGGACATAATGGCACTTTTTAATGCTGATGTAATACGCCGGGGCTGTGATTGCAGAGAGCACGTGTATCAGTTAGAACATGTCTGTAGAGATGGGGACAGACAGACAGACTGCCCCAGTCTTGCATCCTGAGCTGGTCAGGAGCAAACCTGCTCCGGCCCCCAAGCTGTATAAATTCACTTGCTCATCTCCATGTCCTCACCGTTTGATATTTAACAGGTGTTTGAAATACGGGGGGTGTGTGTGTTGCTCCTTGATTTCCCGGTGCATGTTAGCTCGGGCAGAGTGCTTTTCTTTTGTCACCATACGGCTTTCTGACCAGCTTGCTTGCAACTTGGAGCACGGGCAAAATTGCTCCTGTCTGTCCTCCTTGTGCGTGTGGACGTATCCTGACACACTGAGCCCCATCAGCTTTTAGGAAGAGGTGAAGGTCTCAGGCCTTTTAAATATCCCAACTCAAATGGGCCTGCGTGTTTGAGATTCCCCACAATAGATGTTTTCTGGCCGAAAAGGCGTGTGAATTTGTCAGCCATTCTTTGGTATCAGTTGGATGTTCTGTTATTGTTTTATTTTCAAAGAGCTCCTTCTCCAAAGGGAAAAAACAAATGTAAAACTGGTGTATACACCAGTGTGCTTTGTGGCTTTTTTGTTGGGTTGTTTTTTGGGTTTTGTTTTTTTTTTTTAATAAGTATCTAAGGAAGATATTTAAATTGCAGCAGGCAAAAATTGGAGACAGATCATTAACCCCTCCCTTCTCCCCCAAAGCTAGAGCAATAAAAAGAAATTAACATTTTGTAACTGATTTGGAGGGGAGGGGTCTGTTCTGTTCGTCTGGCGACTGGTGCAGCTCTCCCATCGCTGACAGTGCACAGCTTTTCACGAGGACCGGGGCAGGAGAGGAGGACGGGGTGGCCACTGCTCCCATCGGAGTGAAGGAACCGCACGGGGTGTCTCAGCAACTGCGGCTTGTGACACTGGAGCGTGTTGTTGCACCAGCTGGTGCTAATGGCAGGGATTGAGCCCCCTGGTAAATCTGCACCTGCTGAATCCCTCCATATGTCTTTGGAAAGTCTATTCCTCCTTCAGATCTTCATATTAATAATTCTTTCTGAACGCCTTGCTCTGCTGGAGCCTTTCCAAATCTTGCTCCCTTTCCTCTGGTTCTGTTTCTACAGCAGCCTCTTTCCTTACACCAGAAGCGCCTTGTCTGGGCGTTTGTGGCTGTGCCTGAGCCGTCACCATGAAACCGTGATTGCCTGGTAATGCCTCCTGCCTCCTCTTCACCCACAGTTGCACTATGGACAAAAACACAGACTGGTTTTGCTTGTTCACAAACTTCTGTCTTCATCTAAATCTCTATATAAACATTGCGTATTTGTGTCCATGTGTAAGTTACAGTTTTTAAGTCAGCATTGCTGTGTCACGAAGAAGCAGAGGTGCAGGGGTGGGGGCAGAGGGTGGGGAGGAACTTGACGTAGGGCAGGTGACTTGAGATAGGGTTGACAGTAAGACCAGAAGGTTTTAGTGGGAGGAAAACAATTTAATTTTTATTTTTTTAATTTCTAGTAATTCTGATGAAAGAAACTGCCAAAATGTAACTCCATCTGGGAGGATCAAAGCACACTCGGGAACTTTACTTTCTGTTTGCTGTGTCAAAAGAATACTTTGATGGGTTTCAGCAAGGGGTATTACAGCATCTGTAAGACTCTCAGCTTCTGGAGAGGTTCTGGCAGTAAAAGAACTGTTGAGAGCAAAGTTTTGAGCACTTTTCATGTCCCCTTTTTAGATGTAATTGTAGTCTTTATTAATGTTTGGAGTCATTATACATTATTATTTCACAGTACATGATTAGCTGTGTAGCTGGCTTATATGTTCCTCGTATTTTTATTTGCTTCTGAAAGTCCTGGTAAAAACCTTACGTATTAAAATTGTAAATATCCTTCTTCCATTGTTCATGAATGTAATACATTTCTTTGTTAGATGAAGATGAGGATGGTGATCGGATTACTGTTAGAAGCGATGAAGAAATGAAAGCCATGCTGTCCTATGTAGGTATAGTATAACAAATGCTGATATTTTCCATGTTTATCAGTTTCTGTTTGTGTATTTTTGCTTGTATCAAAGTGTTAATGTAAGCTGCAGTGTTCACAGTACAATATTCCTGTATTAAGTTCACAGTATAATATTCCTGTATTAAGTGTAGGTGTTTAAAAACTGTGTCACATGAGATATGGACATGCTTGACTTTTTAAAAAAAAGACTTGTACACTTACTGATCATATCATAAACATTAAGAATAATGCATCTTAATGACTTTTGCATTAGGTATAGTGCAGGCTAAATGGACTATCAATTTCTTGTATTTTTTATGCAGTACTTAAAGTAACGGCTCATTAAAAATGAACCCCTGGGCTCTAAAAATTTTTCAAAATCTACTTTCATCTGGAGACTGTTTCACCCCTCCTAACAGAAGAGTTTCATTGTAGCTGCAGGCTCAATATTCATAGAGGATTTAAAGACGTATTTTCTGTTTTTTAATATGATATATATATGTGTGTCTGTGTGTGCCTTTATATACATATATGTGTGTAAAATCTCTATCTAGATACCTATAAATATGAAATCCGTCTACAGAAATAAAGTGTGCAGTTACTTATTGAAACAAAAGAATTTGAATATAGCTTCAGCGTATCTTTCATGTTGCAGATGTAAGTGAAAAAAATCATTTAACATTTCCTTTCAAATGAAATTGATAAGCAAGAAAATAACAAACGGGTATTTTCTCTCTAAGCCAGATGGACTGCTAGTTCCTTAGAAGGTGCACTTCTCACTGTGTTAATGGCCTTAACTTGGAATGTATCAGAAACAAGCCCTGTTTAGTACCGTTCGTAGGTGGTTTTGGTGGGACTTAACGACTTGGTTCAGTTTAGTCCTCATCAGTTCCCCATTGCAGAGGAAGCAGAGCAGGGACATGCTTGGATCACCTACAGCTTGCCTGAGTCTCTGCTTGATGGACCCCTCTTGGGCACATATTCTCTAGTGTTTGGCAAAACAATGTAGTTTCATTGTTGTGAACTTAGCACGTAAATACATCAAATCATTGATGTTTCCTGTGAAGGGGGCTCATGTTTTCTAGGCTCCAGGAAGGCTTCCTCAGTGAAATTCTGATCCTTTTGATATCTGCAGAGGTTGTACTATTTCTTGCCTTGCGAAGGCTGGGGTGGACATTCGTTGACTGGAAATCTGTTAGCAGACCCTGGTTCAAAGAGACTTTAGTCATTGCCTATGACTGAATTCTGGGGTGAAAGAAGTACAGGTTCCAGATGCTGGTGATTGAGCTCTCTGAAACTCAAGGGGTTTCTTAAATAAGCCCCTCTCATGTGCAGTTTTCTTTCCAGAGGAGGTGAAACCATTGTATTACAAATGGATATTAAAGAGTGTCAGACAGTTGTGTGAAAGAAAGGAAGAAAAATCTTGCTGCAGTCAAGGGGATTTTGTGCTTGTTTGAGCGTTTTTTTTGTTTTGTTTCATACAACCAGATCATTGGTGATGCTTCCCCACTGGAATTCCTTGTGTTTCTTGATTTTTTTCCTTATAAAATGTCTGCCATTTTTGCTGTTAAACTGGAAAACTTGAATTTTCCTGGCACAGTCTTAAGATAAATCGTGCCTTTGTAAGGTCATCTTTTTGCTATGCTTCCAAGCTTACTGTTAAAGTTTCAGTACATTATGATTGCTCAACTCTCTGCTTTCCCTTAAAAATTATGGGATGTCTGTAAATGACTTCTTTCCGCTTCAGCAGCCTTTCTACTCTGAAAATTTTCCCTTCAGTTTTAAACTAGTTTTCTGTTTGAGTGTTGCATAGATGGTTTAACTTTCTAGCATCCTACAGGTGTAATTTTGGGATATGTTTATAAGAAAACAAATGTTCTTAGCCTACAAGAAAAGGAATGAATCTACCGTAATCTTGAAGAATATACCAGGGAAGAAAAATACTTTTTTTTTTTTTTTTTTTTCTTTTTTTTAGTGTTTTGAGGCCTGCAACAAATATTTGGAGGATTGAACAGCTGCTGACATATTTCTAGGAATTTTGATATGGTGCAGTTTGCCTCCAGTTCTGGTAGTATTCTCCAAAATGAAAGTGAAGGGTTTTCTTTCAGTTTAAGAACAAAAAAATAATTCGCTGAGAATGCAGATCTCTTCCGTGCAGGTGTGACACTATAATTGGGGAAGATGTTTTGAATCATGCACAACCTCTTGTCTTTAGGTTCTTTGGTTTCTGAACTTGACAGTAAGTTATTTCAGACGTTTCTGGAATTATTTTAGAGTATGCAGAAATACTTCGTATTATGCCTGTGCAAATATTGTGGAATGGTAAATAAAATTATTTTTCTGTTGTGCATTGCGGTTAATTAAAGACAGACATTGAGTATCAGTGGAGTTGCACTTTAGCTGTTGTCTTGTATCAGTATAAAAAGACAGTAATTTTTTTGACAGCCACTGATTGGAAAGTTGCTTGCAGCTTTCTGAAAGCAAGGGGTACATGCTCTGGATCAATAACTGGCAAATTTTCCATTAAAAAGAATACCTGAACAATGTTCCAAATAGCCACTGGCATCTTAATTTTCCATGGAAACCTCAAATGCTCATGTGTGGAGGACAAGTCATTTTCAGACAATTTTTCCAGACTACTTGTTAACAGTTATTGCTGTCCCAAAAGGTTGACAGCTTACATGATTGATATTTCATTTACTTGTCATCATTGTTTGAGTAATGGAGAGGGCCATGTTTTTTTCTCTCTCTCTCCCTCTATTTTTTTTTTTTTTTATAGGAAACAGTCTCATGTATGTTTATTTTAGTTTATTATTCTAGGGAGTATGTTTATACTGTGTGTATATATGTCTTCAGGTCATAGAATGCCACTAGTAAAATGGTAATAAAAAAGTTTATTTTTCTTAAGCAGTTTTGGCCCCCAGTGGAGCAGGAGATTCTTTCACAACTCCATAACTATTAGGTACTGGTGACACATTTTTATGAAGGGATATGGGGACATGGGGGAGGATTTGGCATGTTATTCATGCCCCCCCGATACAAAATAAGTCTATGGGGTAGTCCTGACTCCTGAAAAACCTCTTGATCATTTCAAAAGAGTGGGCTTTTGTAGTGAATAGCTTTGCTCTGTATAAGCATCTGTCACGCAGTTATTTAAGATGTGGATTTACATGTTTGTGCACTAATATGAATGAGATGCCCCGCTCAAAAATCTTGTGGTGAGATTTTAATGAGAGAAATGCTTTTAGCAGCAGGCATCGTACTAGATGTACACACAGGAGGTGGGGCTGGACCAATCCTTAAACCCTCAGCAATTTTTTTCATAACAGTTTTTTCACAAAAAGGAAATTTCTTCCTGTTTCTTGACATGAATGTGAAAAACAGAAGCACTGAAAAAACGTCTGCACATAAATTGATTTTGGTGTCCATCTAACATTTGCTTACTATAGTTCACATGTTTAATCCCATTGTAAGAGGAAAAAAAAAATGTTTTGTAACATTAGGTAGTTAATAAACTTTTGTCTTTTTTAAGTTGCATAAGTAAAAAATGCTTGGGTTATGGGAAACCATTGGTGTGATGAAATACATGTGTTTGATTCCATAGAGACTTGGAATTTTTTTTTCTTGTTGACATCCATTCTTGCCAGTTTGAGTAATAGTATCACAAAACACGGGTAACAGTGACATGCTGAAGTCTTAGACCACACTCGGCTGGTGAGAATTAGCATGAAAGTCAGTGGAGCTACACTGATTTATGCCATGAAGATCTGGCCAACAGCCAGCGTGTTTGCTTCAAAGGTGTCGGCAATTGCAAAAGAAACGTGCTTTGTGATGTGCTTTCAATATTTAACACATTGTGATGAGAGGTATGTGGGTTATAGACAGTAAACTCGTAGCGAGGTCTGTCTCCTGCCCCAGGATTGTCTGGTCATGATGTTAAATGTCCTGTCTGGTGAGCGTTCACGCCTCCTGAGGAGTGAGGGTCAATTATGAAAGCTAATAAAGATTTTGATTTATTTAATCCAAGTGTTTATTTCTTCATTTAATGCCACTCTTCATCCTCATGCCACTCATCAGGCTTCCTCATACCACATCAGATATTTTCTGTCTTCATGGGTCTTGATGTCCTCAGATACTTTTGCATCCCTTTTTGTCCATTCTTAACCTTTCTTTAGCAATAAACTTCTCCGCGCAGATCACTCCTTGCAGTCCCTGTAGAGCCCAAGGTCTCAGGATGTCTGCAGTGGCTTTCTAGTAAACGCTGTTTTGCATATCCTACTGTGCATTAAATTTGTACGCTGAGGGAACGCACGACAACTCCGCTTGTGTGGGATGTGACTCCCACTGCCCTGACTTTTTGCTTCATTGCTGCAAATTCTTGGATAGTTTCCAGATTCTTTTCTACCTTGGAGTTTTCCTAATTGCATGGTTTTTGACTATATTTACAGCGTTTCTTTGTTTCCACATTTGACTGGTTTTCCTGGCTTCTCCAGGTGTGGCAACTGCTGTGTTTGCTGTAAATGTTTCATTTGCTCACTCTTCTGAAGCATTCCCAGGTTTCAGGTGGGCCTGAAACTTGCTTAGCTGAGCCAGTAACAGATCCCTGTGCTGGAGTTGGTACTGCGCTCGGCATCGCAGCCCCTTGCTTATGGTGCTCTGTGCCACTTTATTGTGTGGGCATTGCAAACGGTAAGAAATCATTCTAAAGGCTGATATGTACTATGGCAATTCAAAAAAAAAAAAAAAACACTGAATTAAACAATCCATAAGTGCTCTTACTACTATTCATACATTACTGAGTAATCTCTTTCTTTAATCTCTTTGCAGTATTACTCCACTGTAATGGAACAGCAAGTAAATGGACAGTTAATAGAGCCTCTACAGATATATCCAAGAGGTAATGCTTAACAAATTCTAATCAACAATGATGATATCAGTAAACTGTTTCATCAACAGTTATGTTTTCGGGAGGTTTAAATGCACATAACATGATGTTTACCTCTTAATTTGGATAGAAGAATTCATTATTGTGGGGAATGTAGTGAAAACTACATTTATTGCATATAAAATAGCTAATTTACTGGAGTAAATTAGACTAACAAGATTCAGTTTGCATAGTACATATTTATGTACATTTAAAAAACTCATTGGTGATGGTTCTGCATGTATTCAAACCAAAGCAGATGAATAACTTAAGTTTTGGATACTTACAAAAATTGGGTTTTGTTAAGATCTTTTAATATCATTAATCAGTCTAACGGACTTGGGGAATGTGACTGTCATTGTTCATTTTCAAAATGGGAACATGTCTGTCACAGAAGCTCTATGCGTGACGTGTTTTATTTGAGATTTGGGCACTTAGTGGTATCAAAATGATCACTAGTACTTGAATAGTTCTGAACAGGGAAGGATGTAATCAGTTATGTGGGCTGAGGCAATTAAAAAATAGGTCATCTACGTCCTGAACAAAAATCCGTAGGCAGCTAGTTAGGTTTTTGGGAATGCACCGCTCTCTCTGAACTCCAATAGTGGTTAAAAAAAGACTAATACATTACGTAATCCCGCTGATTCATTCAGATGCTCTCACTATCCAGTCTTTGAATCTCTGATTCTTAATTGATGAAACAGATAAGGTTTAAATTCTCCAAGTAAATCTCCCAGCAATAAATTAATTGAAATAATTAAAAATTAAACTCTTCTCACTTAACTGATATTATACAAATAATCATACTATGAGTTTCCCAATTAAACATTCTAGACTTCCATTACTTACAACTCTCTGAAGTTTGAATTGGGCAATTAACCAACAGTCTTCTCAAACACATGCTAATAAGGTCTCAAAAGGAGGCTGGATTTCCTGCTAGTTTAGTATGCTCCTATGGAAAAGAGACTTGAATTCAAGGGGAATACGGAGATTTTTTTTTTTTTTTTTTTAATGGCTCAGGCTAGCAGGATCTGATTGAGAGGAGGGACTCCCAGATATTCGAGCTGTAGGACTCCAGAGCAGTCAGCAGTCGAGATGCGTTCTCATGAGACGAGTGCAAGGACAGCAATGAAGGGGGAAGCTGCGTTCTGCCCCCTTGCCTCTTCCCAGGATGAGATGCGAGGGTCTCAGCCTTTCTCCTGAACCTCTTTCTATAGAAGGCCATTTAATTACTGACATACACTCTGCCTAAAAACACTGACCACCACTTGCAAGAAATAAAGTGCTAGGCTTTCAGGTGGCTTGGAGAAACTGATAGACTGGATGATCCTAATAGGTGAGAAACCCTTCTTGGAAATACAAAGCAATTAGATATATTTCCCCTTAAGCAAACGGTTTGAGGAAGTTGTGGCAGGAGGTGCTTAGTGCTGGCATGCCTGAGTGTTTAAAGGGACATTTTGAGGTTACAAATCGGGCTTAACCTTCTTATAGAGTCTCCTTTTCGGTCATTCCTGAAGATTTTTTTTGCTGCATTATCCTTTTTCTATTTCCTTTACATCCAAGGATAATTTTCTTTGACTGTACAGATTGAGAATTCATCTCCATGCTGCTGAGGATATGATCCCCATGTGTTATCTCCACATTTTCACCATTGGCTCAACTACGCATGTGTCTGCTGGGTATTTCCTCGTAGGTGGCTTGCCCCTTACTCTGAATTGCTTCAGAGCTGAGTTGTTGTTTCATCTTTCCAAATCACCTTCTTAAAACATCTATTCTTTCTAGGTTAGAGCTTTAAAGCTGCCCTGTGCTCCCTTCATACCCAGACTGCCTCTAAGTTCTGCTGCTGCTTTTCTGCAATGTCAAATAAAATGCACTTTCCTGCATTTTTTTTCTGTCTTCTGGCATTTAAAGTTCTAGTTCTGCCTTTCTAATGAACATCCCAAATTTTGTTAGCACACGCGCTTTTCTTTCGTGCCCTTTTGGCCGTGTCTCTCTACATGCTACAGTTTAAAGCCCCATCAGTAACATGCAGCTTTTCTGCCTGTAGTTTAAGGTTCTTCCTTTTTAAGAGCTTCCTTTGCAAACCCAATCTTCCTTTGAGTCCTTTTCCCTTTCTGCCTCTCTTACTTCTCAGGAAGCCGCCTAGTTGCTGTTTCCAGTCAGCTTCCAAAAACTCGTGTCTTCCATAAAGTCTGCCATGGATATGTAAATGTGTTACCTTGGCTGTGCAGTATTCATTTGATAATTTAAAGGTCTTTAAGGGGAAAAAATGGTATTTTGTCTATTTTTTAAAAAAATGCATTTTCGCTGTCTAGGTGGTAAGAGCCAGAGTTCTTTTTTTATACTGAAAATAAACCTCTGTATGCGTATACATAAACAAGAGAGTGTGTGCATACACACACACACACATATATATCTCCTGTCTATGTTATATATACGTCCCATCTGTGGAATGCAAGGTGAATATACCATTCAAATATATATAATAAAAAATATTATTCTTTTAATATCTTGTTCAAAATGTTGATTTTAATCTATTGGAAAAAATATAGTATGCTTATATGTGTTTTAGAATAGTTTATTGTTTTCTGTGTTGTGTTTTTTTTAATGCCCACAGTGTCATAATATTTTTCTTCTTTAAGATGCACATTCTAATGTCATTTAAAAGGCACATGGCCTGGCCCTAACTGATGTGTTTAATAACTATCATCTGTGTCCTTCTGACTAATAAATAGTTCTGTTTCCTGCTGTCAAAAATGGAAGTGAAATGCATGTGCATCAGAGAAAGAGAAAAATCAAATTCATCCCTCCTCAGACAATCAATCAAAAGTGACAGGCCCTTTAACATACAATTTGTAGGGCACTGTAGTTTTAAAATGGGAACTGTCTGTAACATGTAGCTAGAAGCCTTTGTGGCTTTAACATTTGACAAAAGCACATCCACCAAATGGAAGAACAAGGCAATATATAGTTTGAGAGACTTTAGGAAAATACTTTCTTTTCAAGCAGCATGTCCCTCTGTAAACCTAGACATCATAATAAGATGCCACATTTGTACAGCTGTGTCCAAAATGTGGCATTTTGTATTGCATTTATCCAGTATTTGCTTTCTTGAGACTCACTGCGGTTGCCCCTGACATGTTTTTTCCACATGTAAAACAAACTGTCTGCATTTGACAATATGACTAATTCATGATGTGTGGCAGCTGATTCCTTTAAAATACATCTTGCAAATATTTCTGTTAAATGCCAGGAAAAATACAGCATGTGAAATATAGTGACGTAAGATATTGATTTTAATTTGAATTACAAAAAGAATCTGATAATTTAAGCCAACAGTTCTCTTGATTTTGATGTGTTTTAAGCAGAAATTAGAATTTATATTACATGGTGTCAGAAAGCTCTTAGCATTTATAAATGCTCACTCCTGCAAGTTAAAAATCCTGGTTCATAATTCCCACTCTGGGTCTTGTGAGGCACTTTTCAATCATTTCTCTCTGCTAATTTTGGTGTCACCCTCATTTCTTTTTAAAAGATTCATTTTGAGCAAATTTGTAAATGGCCCTGATGTGTTCTACAATTTAGTCAATTACTGTTTCAGCCTGCAAGCCTCCTGGGAAACGGAACATACATGGCCTGAAGGTACGAATTTCAATAATTGTTTCAGTAAAGTTAGATGGATTTGTAATGCTGTGTTCCACTTATTGAAATGTCAAATAAAACTGCACTTTCTTGAGCTCTGACAAGCAGATTTTTTTTTTTTTTTTTTTTTTTGTGAGGGTGGGAGAAGGATTCATCTGCTGGGTGTTGGCTGTGATACCTATATATACAGTTTTATTAAAAATGGAATTGCCTGCCTTTTTGTTTTTAACCTCTGTTAATAAGGTTCCTAAATTTTAATATTGAGTTCATCAACTAATGGCTGCTACTACTTCAAAGAGTTTAAAAAACCCCACCATATTCATTTGATTTCAGTAATTTATCTAAGTGTGGAAGGCACTGCAATGAAATTCTTTTAGGTTGCTTGATTCATTCAGGTATGCTTATTGCTTCTGTAATCATACCCATTTTGAAATGCAGAAGACTACGAATGTATTAAATGATAGTTTAGTTTTTAAAATCAGAATAAATGGTGGACATATCATCTCTTTTTTTGTATTATTTAACTAAGCCTTTAAGATGTGAAGATAATATATTGTAGTCCATGAATTATATAGCCTGCTAACCTACATACAGGCGAGACCTCAACCATTGGCATGCCTAGCAACAAGCTAATTAACCTTCATAGTGAAATGAGAAATTCATGGCAAATTACAGGTTAATTAGAATAGTGTCCTCTGAACACAAACGACTGATAAAGATTCTTTCCCTGCCTGCAGGTAAATACGCGAGCAGGGTCTGCTAATAATAGCAGTTCGGTAGTCTCGGATTCCCTTCCAAGCAATAGGTAAGAGTCAAGAACGGGAGCATATGTTTTGTTTTGTTTTCTTTTCTTTTCTTTTATTAAACCAAAATGGAACCTTGTGTGCGGTCGTTACTAACGATAAGCTTGATGTTGAATAACTTTTTCAATATGACTACTGGGCACACAGGAGTGAAGTGGGGAAGACGAAATTACCTTGATTCATGGATCTTGTTAGACTTGTGCTGCTGGTTCTTCAGGAGAATTATTTTCTGCCAAAAGAAATAAGTCTTTGCTGGGTATTTCAGGTGGCTTTGTCCTTTACAAAGCATTGAAATACTGTTTATGGGTGAGCTAATTTGTTTTAGTTGATCTAATAATCACTGTCTAAGGCAAGGTCTGTATGTTCAGGTCTTCATTGCTTATCTCATTCCAGGATTCTTTGATTTTAAAATTTGATACCCAATTCAGTAGGTTTATTATTGTGGGGTTAAGATTTTGGAAAAATCTGAACAGCTTAGGTGCCCTGTTTCATACAGTTTCAGCAAAGTTTTGGAGGCCATCTCCCTTATCTTTCTTTTTAGATTCCAGTCCTAATTTCAAAACCCATGTTAAGATCTTAAAATGCAAAAGAACTTTTTCTCTTTTTTCCTAGAGATCTGCTTTTAAATACTGGAGCATAAACTCCCTTTTATTACATGAACTGTTACAGGAAGGTGTTGTGCTCAATACTGATGTTAAAACAAACAAAACCCCACAAAAAACCTTGTGTATGCTTAAAAGGAAATAAGAAAAGTCTGGCTCCATCCTCTTCATATAAGAGCATATTTGAAACATGGGAATAGAAATCTCTGGAGGTCCCTTTCAGCCTAAATTATTCTATTATTCTAATAAGCATATAATATTACGTTTATCCGTGCATCAGCATGCTGCTCCCTTTTCTCTCCGAGAGCATTTTGGGAAAAAAAAAAAAATCGACAGAGACGAACATGATCAAAGACACAATCATATCGCATTAAGCATGTTCTGTCAGTGAAGTGCCGATACCCGTGCTGGCAGACACCACAAAGTGCTGCAGTGGTGGGACTGTCCCACAAACCTTGCCTTTGCGTGGTGGGAGTGATGTGATGTGGTTACCCGTTGACGAGGAGGATGCCACCCCACACAGGTGGCAGCAGTGCTGGAGTTGTGCTACAGTGGGTAGCCCCATTCAAGTACCACCAAAACCAGTTTTGATGCTCCCTTTAGTGGCTTTGCTAATTGTAGAGATAAAAAAAGAAGCCCAATACCCTGTGTCAATCTCCTCTGGCAAAGTTTGCCCCCATCCCTTGGGGAAGATTTGCTGTGTATTGCAATGGTGAAGATCCTATCCAAGACTCTTTAAAGAAAATAAATCTGAATGTCTTTATGAACTGCAGTCCTCCTCCCAGTCTATCATACCACTGAACTAAATAAAGCTGCTTTCTGTCGCTGTTGTGCTTTGGCTTTCAGTACTTCCTGTACTTTGAGCTTGTTCTTAAAGTGCATTGAAAATGAGGCTTCTAGAAGATTCTTGTCACCTTATTTGGTGGTTAATTGCCATTCCTTTTCCGAAACCTTCTGCACTATGAGTTTTGTTTTTGAAGTAATTGAAAGTCTCTCTTTGTTTCATGTTCACAAATTGTTAGTCATGAAAGATGACAAGATCAACCTATGTTTCCTTGGAAAACTTAATTTTTCTTTAAAGTACTCGTGGGAACAAGAGGCCTATTAAAGAACAAAGCCACCAAATATGAAATCTGTGTTTTCACTGTTCTTGTTAATAATGATCTGTGATCAAGACACGTGCACATGCCTTTCAAGAATATATTATTTTGTACTTTTTTTTTTTTAACTTCAGCAGTAAGAGCAGAATGTCTCTTTGAGATTAAGTTTTGCAGACATACATCTATACTTCTACCCAGGCAGTTTGTTGTGTTGAACGTACAAGGAACAGAGTTTGTCAGGAAAGGAGGTGAAGCAGTGTTTTGCGAGTGGGTGGAAGTAGTTTGAAGCCGTTAATAGTTTTACCTGCAAAACACACCAAGCTGATAGTTGTGGGTTTTTAAAGTTCTCTTACTAGAAAAAAATAATATGGGTCATTTTGCCTAATGTAAGACTACTGACCCTGGAGTAGTTTCTCCTGAAAAAGCACAGGGACTGCAGCAGCAGGTTGACCCGCAATGGATGCACATGGCAATCTTCCTCACCCCCCTCAATTTAGGCACGTCCCTGAGATGCCTAAATGAGGATTTGTGTTCACCTGCTCACCATGCTCCAGTCTGCGGTCAGTTGAGGTAGTGAGGCATCATCGATTGCACACCCTTCTGCTGCAGATTTATAGAAATTATTGAGGCATAATGCCTTAAGGGATTTTAAAACAAGAAAAGGCACCTGAAAACTAGATGTAAACCTTATTTTCCTGCTGTTTTTTTGAAACACCTGGTGTGTGAGGGTATCTTTGTTTTTTTTTCTTTTTCTTCTTTGAACTGACAAATAATAGGTTGTATCTCAAAGGGTAGTATAGTCAGGTATCTAAAAAAGCTAGTTTGTAAAGGTGAAAAATATATTGATTTTCTTAAATGTTCATTGCTTCTCCATTTCTGCTGTCTGCAGTTTGAGGAGTAGCTGTACTGAACATCAGTCAGCATTGCTAAAGTTAAATCTGTTCAGAATATGTAACCGTGAACTTAACCTGGTGGCTTGTTGTTTCTTATGGTTTCACTTCATTTTATAGAGTGAAATGGCACAGTCGTTAAAAATAATTGCCTCTTATTTTTTCAGCTTAAAAAAGTCTTCTGCAGAGCTGAAGAAAATACTTGCAAATGGCCAGGTAGGTGCACTGAATCGAGGCTTGGCTACATGCACGTCTCGTTACTGCCTAATACTGGAGTGATTGGCATACCACAAATAGGTGGAGAGATGCTTACTGCTCATTTAGTTGTAATGTGTTCTTTTAATACAGAACTGGAGGGACCATGAAAACCTTCATGATATGAATGAGTTATGTGTCCTGATTTACTTTGATTGGCATAGCAATTTGCTTCCCATTTCTCAAAATGTGCTAATCAGATTTAGCTCCAGATAGATTGAAGTACCTCACACATGTTGCGCTGCTGCCACAATTTCAGGGAAGAAAGTTAATCAATTTTGAATAACTAAGTCAACTGCTCAGTTAGAATGACCTTTGTATTTTTTAGGGCAGTAGATACTTCAATATTTAGCAGATTCTTTCAAGGAACTGCTCTGTAATATTTGGAATCACCTTATGTTGTAGCTTCTTTAAAAAAAAAAAAAAAAAAAAAAAAACCCCAAACAAACAAAAAACCCAAACTAAAACAAAAAAAACCCCAAAGTTGTAGAACGCTGTCTTGTTACTTTCTCTTCCTGCTTCAAGCATTTAGATTCTGGCACCCAGAAGTGAAAGGTTTAATGTAACAATTGATGGAAAAGTAGATGTCCTGGACAAACGGAGCAAGCATTTCTTACCCATTTTGAGCTGAACGTATGGGCAGGCTTGCAGTAGCGCGATGACATTAAATATACACCGTTAAATTAAACTACCTTAAAAGAATCCCAGATTCTTCAGAAGCAACATAAATATGTTTTAATGTTTGTCATAGCGAAAGCCCTTTGATAGCCTTGGAGGCAGGCACCTGTCCATTGCGATCAAGCTTGCCTATTAGGCTCTATTGACTGAGACATCTGTGTCACTGCAAATAAAAGACTCTTATTGATTTTCTTAACTGCTGTTCACTTCCCTTCCATGTTTCGAAGGCTGAAATCTTAATTATCTCAGATGCGTATTCAGTGCCTTCACACAATGACCTCTCCAAGCCTCATTGGCATTTCATGAATCAAGTAGTTGTAGTTGAGCGTGTCAAGAAGATAAAGGCAGGTCTTCATGCTTGTCCTTCAGTATCACCTGTAACATTGTGGTCTAATAGATGAGAGTGCCCCTCTAAAATGTGAGTCGAACAGGCCAGTATTGCAGCCTTGCCCATTTGGCACTGAATCCTTTGAATACAGCTTGGAAATGTGTTTTTAAGCTTGTCAGCATTCCTTACGTGCAGACATAGTTTAACAGTCACAGATTCCTACCAGGTAGATTTGTTAATGTTTCAAAATTGTAGCTAAACAACATATTTCTCTGGATAACTTAAAATTACGTAAGTACCACCAGCATGCTTCTGAACTTTGAAAATGAAGTTGATAATTACTCCAATATTACTAATTATTTTTTTAAAGTAGAATTACTGAACGTGAGTAAAAGTTATCTTTTTGTGATTGAGTCCATAAGCTGTATTTGGCATTTCATTTGTTCTGAGTAATAGAAATTACTATTTTGTGTGCCCTGCAATAGATTGTAACAGATTTCTTTCCTGCGAGGTAGAATTTTAGAAAGATACAAAGGAACCAAAACTCTTATTATGATATTAAAAAATGTTACTTAAACCCATTAAAAAAAAAAGAAAATAAAAAATAAGTTTTAATATTACCTTTTAGTCACACTGCTCTGGTGGGAGTTATACTGCTTTCTGTTGAGACAAAATGCTTTTTGTTATGCTGCATTGTGTTCTGCAAAATTTCGTCATAGATCCATAACTGGAAATAGGTTTCTAGTTGTAACTTTAGCTTTTCCTCCTTTTGGGGGATTAAGTCACACTTATCATTACTTAAATATGGGTTGGGTTATTATTTTTTGTTATTTTTTGGCAGTTTATGCTTTCAGGCATTCATAATGATATTCCTCTAGTAGTTTCCATTTAGGTTTAATAAGGAATTCATATTAATCATTAAAAGAAGGGGACATGATTCTTCAAGATAATCAAATATTGACAGGTTAGAAATAGCTTTCTGCCTAGGTTCATTGATATAGGTGATGTGATATAAATATTTATTTCTTTTCTGTCACTCAGAGTAAATGCCACCAATTGATTCAGCATTGATATAGTGTCAACAGTTCATAAGAAACATTTGACTGGCTTGTGTTTTCCGATTAGTCTCTGCTCTATAAAGCGGGATTTACTAAATCTCTCCAATTGTCTGCTCATAGAGTGTGACTGCTTTCTGAAACCATTATTGCTTCGATTCGTAAAGCAAAGGTATGGCTATAGGACTTCGCCTCTGTCAGGCCTCTACATATAAAATAAGGATTAATTGAGCATTTTGTTTTTAATGATTTACAAGAGATAGACACTGATTTCTTTCAAAAACAGCAGGTATAAGCAAGGGATGTTTTGTTTGCTGATCCGTAATTGAAGTCTGTTTTGCTCTTTCATTAATTCTGTTAATATTGGCATCCAATCAAACTCGGTTTTGCAGGTTTAATATTCCAGTCCATGCTGTCGAGTTCATTGTTATTATGTTATCATTTTATGATTGAGAATCCAGTTTTCCCAGTAAAATAAATAAATCACCACATGTTTTTGGCATCTTTATTTGAGCCAGTAAATCACACTTTATCTCTCTATCAGTTGCTGGCAGATCCTTGCTCCACCCCAGTCTTCCTATTTCACCCTGGGTTTCTGGTTGCTCTTTGTGCCTAGAGACAAGAAATGGTGCTGGGCTGGCAGCAGGTGCGAGTGGTGCAGCATCACAGTACGGCACTGCTCCTGTCGCGGGCTTTTAGGGAACGGTGTGAAGAGAATACTCTCCTTTTACCAAAAAGCAGGAGAAAAGAGAATACGCTTTATGTCTCTGGTTCTGCTCAATTTGTTGCTTATAACTTGTATAACTACAAAAAAATTCTTCTTTTTTCCCCCCAAGAAGCAAAGATACAAGTATGTTCATAGCTTTGTGGATTCATTTGGTTTCTCTTAAGAGTTTTGTTTGTAAGAACATTGCTGGGAATATAGGAGAGAGATGTTTGTTGTTACCTCAAAGACTGGAGAATTAAAGTCCTCCAGCTTAGGAGAGCAGAACTCCTTAAACACAGTATGCGCTTTAAATTAATGAGTACTGCAGTCTGAGAGAAATTATGTTTAGAGCAAGGGATCCAGTATAGATTCGTATTTTAAAACCCATTCATGAAGTATTGTTCTTTATGAGGTGTCTTTTTCCCCCCTCTTTATTTGCATTTTCTGATTGATGCAATAAGCAAGATAGCTTTCAGTAATAAAATAAATTTTCATTTTCAACATAAACCTTGATAGTTGAATGGGCCATTTCATACCTTCTTAAGATAAGGTTTAACTACAAATAGGTAATAATGTGGAGTCAACTTCTGCTTTGAGGTATTTCAAATCTCAGAGATTTTGAGCTCACTGGAAGAAATGCATAGAGGAAAAGTATTTCCTGTGAGACACAAGCATGCTTTTTGTTCAGGTAGTGAAAGGAAAGAACACAAATTTTGGAGTTCATAATTTCTGCCCTTAAAACATTGAAACTACTTTAATTCAATTAAATATTCCATTTTCTGTTGGTAAGACATGCTGAATATTGACTCTTTAGGGCATTTCAGCTTGTTACCATCACTTGTTCCAGTTGAAGCCAGGGGCAAAGTTCCTCTTATCTTCACTGACATCATATGAAAAGGGATGCTTAAACATGGCTTAGTAACTGAAGGGCACATGTCCCCACTGAATTTTAAAAGCCATTTCAGAAGTTGGATAAATACAGATAGTTAGCTTATGGCGAGGTCTGTGTGGCTCTCACCATCGTGCTTGTGGTAGTTGAAACAGCTAATTTGAAGCTATATCTCAGATGTGCTTAAGTGATCTCTAATCACATCAGTGATAGCAGACCAGACATATCATTAGGGGTTTTTTGATGCCTTTTAACACACAAAAATGACAGAAAGTCTTTAAGCAGCCATGCCAACTCATGTAAAAATGTTTAACTTGATATCCCATCAAATATAAATAGTTAATAGAAACAAGTTAATGATTTGGTAACAAATTCCTAGGAAAACATCTCTTAAAAATGGGATTTGCCCGGACATTTATTGCTTGCAATGATCAGGCAATGGAGGAGATCTTTTTGGAGTAGCAAATGCATGCAGCCCAGAATTTATTCTCATTAAAATATTTAATTTCAAGTATGCATGTGCATTCCAAAAATGTCTGTAGTGATTTTTTTTTATTTTTAATAAGTGGTTTAGCTGGAAGATCAGTATAACTGTATTTGTACAGGAGAAGGTTGAACTGTAGTTTTACATTTGAATTGCTCAGCCAGCAAGGTGATGTATAATAAGCTTTTATAAAATCCATATCAGAAAGATCCCAAATTCCAGCATTTGCAATGTACAGTGCTTGTTATCAAGCTTCTGCTCAAATATCTGAAGACATCGTCGTATGTGGAGAGTTGTCCCAGTGAGTGGAAAGATTGAGGCAAGCAATTAGTTGTATATTTCAAGGAAAATGATTTTTTAGTGGATCGTGATTCAAGACTTTTTTTTTTTTTCAGAATATTTGCTTTAGTTAAAAGGTATATAAATGAAGCACTATGAAGGAATCCTACTGACAAAACTGTCACTCAATTAGTGTCAATTATGCTGATTCCAGAATAAATCATAAACTTTTCTAGCCATTCTTAAGGTGACAGTTTTCTGTTGGATTGTTTCCATTCACCTCCAACTTTGGCTTTGGTTATGTGCTATTCTGGAGACCCTTTTCCTATCAGTATCTGTGACCTGACCCTCTTGAGCTATATTATATCATTCCATTTTGACACCTTTTATCAAACTTTAATGAAATGACCCAGGCAAACAAATTGTCATTAAACTTTCCATCACTTTGTCCCTTGGTATCGTCTTTTATAAATTGGACAGCAAATGTTGTATTGATCTTCTCGTTCTTGCAGCTGAACTTGAAATGACCCAGACTGCTTGTTGTTTATGGCCTAGAGTTGCTTTTCCTTGACATTTCCATCCACAGCATGACATCTCTTTTGTTTTTCTTTCTTTCTTGTGGAGATGAATGAACAAGACATACGGTATCGAGACATCCTCGGTCATGGCAATGGAGGCACAGTCTACAAGTGAGTGTTGAATTTCCCTTAAAATTTTTGAAAATAAAATTTAACAGCACTCTTTTTTTTTTTTTCCCCCTTCATATTTGTAGTGAGATATAGGTGGGCCACTGCTGCTATGCAGAAAAGATTATAAAATAAATTCTTAATATAAACTTTTTAAGAATTCTCTTTACGTATTTACGAGGTATCTGCTTTTGGGTGCCTTGAGGGCTGGTGCATTTTTATTATCTTTTTAATACTTAGCTTTGAATCCCTCATGGGTAACAAGTTAACGGTTCACAAGTGGAACTTGAAATGTCCTGAAGCATAATGAATTGCCTTCAGTATTTGCAATGCCGTTATTCTTGCTGGCTCACCACACCCTTTGCTAGCCCGGTACTGAGAATGACACCAGTGGGATGTGATGACACCATTGCTCTGCCTTTCTCTAGCAATTCAAAATTAGTAAATACCCCTTTCACTGTTGCAGTGATTTCCCTCCCTTACAAGCAGCTTCCCACACAGGCTGATGAATATATTAAATTATAAACTCCCCCAAATTTTGGTAGTGAAGCTTATACCCTGCAGCCAGTATTAATTTTAATATTGTAAAGATTATAATAGCACAGATATAGTTTTCTCGACAGGAAAGTCTTTCTCATGCATAGTGCAAAGTTTAAACTACATAATGTAATATCTGGTACTTAATAGTCTGCAGTGGTGTATGAAAAATATTCCACTAGGAATTAAGAAATCCATACTTTGTAAGAAAGCCCTGAGGGAGTAATAAAGGTTTCCTCCAGAGAGCTATTTACCATATACAGTAACCCAGCATCCCATTATGATTTTGTTTATACCTTTAGACATTTTAACTTTGATATTAACAATTTTTTTTAAATGTTTTAAAAGCTACAGTGCATTTAGTTTAGTTTCTAATTGGCTGGCAACATTGCAAAACGACTAGCTTCGGTCTCCTTGCAGAAGGCTTAATGAAAATGGACTTCCAAAACCTTAAAGGGACAAATCTAGTCTTTGAATGGACTTTTCCGAAATCAGGTTAGCCTTGTAGGTGGAATGTAGTTCAGAAATCTCATTGACATTCTCTTGTAGAAAGATATTGCTAGACCAAGAAACTTGCAGAAGCAGTGTTCTTTTCTTACTTTATAATAAGAAAGATCTGAGAAGAGAGAGTGTTGAACTTTACAGCTCAGTCAGTGACTCCTTGGTGTTTTCTGATTTAGAGAAAGTTGCTTCCCTTCCCTGTGTATTGATGGAGGCTCCGGGAGTGGATGGAGGTGGGAGAAGCATCGCAAAGGTGGACCACGTGCTCTGATCCTGGTGGAAGGCACTTGAGGCACAGTTAGGGAAAAGGAATATCCCACAAAGTGAGGGAACCCCCACGTGTCATACCCAATTTGGGGTCATTTTCTTTAGAGAAGTAGCTGAAATAAGGAGCTAGCAATGCAAAATCATGAGCTGCCTAAGAATGGCCATACCAGGTCGTACCAAAAGTCTCTCTCCTTCATCCTGTGTCTTAGAGTAGCCGGTGGCCAAAGTCTAAGGAATGTAAACCAAGGCAAGTGAATGTGTGCTTTGCTAATCTTGTTGCACTGAGGATCTGCTGAACTTAATGTCTGTTTGTCAACTTACGTCTGCCCTACTCACAAGGAACAGCTGTATTCCACATCTGCTGTGTGTGCATGGTCCGTACCATGAGACGGTGCTTTTAGATGCAGAAGGCGGTACAAAAATGTCTCATTCTTCTACAATATTGCCACGTGCATAGTATGTATTTCACATTTCATAAAATTCATATGGGAAATTTGGATAAAATGCTATGTAAAGCCAAACTTGCACCTTTTGACTTCTTTTTGTATTTCTGAAGGGTAGTATAGTTATGTGCCTGCTTTTTGTTTAATATTTTTACAAAAATGTTTTTCTCTTGTGAAGACTGCTGCTTTAGTAAGAGTCTGCAGGAATGATGAAGGAACAGAGATGTGAACACTCAAGGCACAGAGGATAATAGCACAGGAGGGAATGCATAACACTTCTGGCACTTCTTCTATGTTGATTTGCTGCATTGTGTGGGCTGATTGTGTGATCTGCTTCGTTAAGTGGTTGATTGTTGCATTTGCCTGCAGTTTGGGAAAGTAAAAAATTTTACCTGTAAAAGCATAAGCCCTTTCCTGTATCAGGGAAATATTTCTACCTTTCTTTTTCCTTTTTATTACATTTATATTTTAAATTAGCAGTTGCAGTGAATTCACAGTATTTTCTCTAGTGCAGGTGTCATTCTGCACTGTTCCAGGGAATGTTTTCACGTGTGGATGTCTTATACATTCCTGAAGTTTTACTTTCTTTGCAATGCAAACAATAGCAGAATATAAATACGAAATACGGTTTTCTCCCAAAAACCAGCTTCTAAGCTATGCGTTCCTCTCAGATCTTCCCGAATTTGCTTCTTGGTGTGTTGGATTGAAGAGTTGAACCAAATCACTCTTTCATCCCTGGAGAGCTGCTGGTTGCTGTTGTTGCAGGGAGTTGACAATTACTATGCCGTGGTGACATGCTTTGGACAAAGCACACAGAACTTCCTACCTTGGGACAATCGCCCCTTTGTAAAAGGGAGCTGTTCTCCCTCGCCAAAGGAGCATCTGTGCTACACAAGCCAATAAGAAATTGCAAAATGGAATACTTACAGGTAGCTGGATTGCACTAGTCATGGATAGCAGCCTACATATATTTTATTCCAGTAAATCAATGACCATTTGTCAAATAAAATTAATTGCAAACGTTTGGCTGTTTTCCTCTTCCAGCATTCCATGCTGTGGGTTTGTTTCAGAAGAGGCTGTGTGTAGTATTGATCTGAATCTAAAGAATGAGCATGTCTATGTAGTATCTTTCTTTCTTTCTTTCTAGCTCTTTATACTAAGTCATATCCATTATGGCAATGATATATTATCAGCATTCAGCAAACAAGATAGCGTGTCGCAGGTCGCTGAGCAAAAATTTTCAGCCTCTCTTTCCACGTGAATTAACTACTATTGAAATAGTTTATTGAGATTGAAGTATTGATCACTTTTCATGCTAACCTTGGCTTAAGGGGGGAGAGAGGAGGTGGTTTTGTTCTCTTTGGAAGACGCTATGTTTAGTTAGAAAATGTATTTCATTTATTTGGGTCCTTTACAGCTGCAACTGTTTTATTGCTTGGAGAAGAGGTATCTTAGCTTTATTTTTATGACAGTATAATTATACTTTAGAAATACACTTGATTACTGTGTGTAGCAAAATTGTTCCAGTATATTGGCTTGGCCAATATTGCTATACAAACAACTTTTCAGTCAATTGAGTCTGGTAAAAAATCAATACTTTATAGCAATATTTCTAGTGAGAACTTGCTGAATCTAAATGTTTTTCCTGTTCTAAAAAGAAGGGATTTTATAGTTGTTTGACTTGCTATTTTTCCCCTACCTTTTGATACACTATTTTCTTAATTAAGGAATGATAACAATTATAGAGTTAGATACGGCAAAAACAGTTAGTTATTCTTGCTTTCTGATTGCTAGTATTTTCAAAAATATGTGAGAACATATAAATAATCCCAAACTGTATATTCAAAAAGTATCTTTGAATATACCAACAATCAGAAAGCAAGAATTCTTCCACTGGTGCATAGTGAGCAGTGTGAACCCTGTCTTGAGTAAAGACTGTCAAGAAAGTGATGAAATCTGCTGTAACAAAGACTGAAAGTACCCTAGTGTCTTTATCTTCCATTTGCCGGTTGTTATTTAGATCATTAACTGGGATTTCCACTTTCCATGGAGTATTATAAGTCCAATCGTATGAATTTTTGGAAACTCTCAGCTGCCATTATTTTGTGGAGATTTGCACCTTTCCTGACAAGAGGGCCCTAAGACTGTTACACTGGTAGATGTACAAGCTTCCAGCTCTGCAACAGACTTTCTAATTTTTTATCAACTATTTTATAGAATCTGGTAGGATGGAGAATGTACAGTTTGGACTGATTCACAGCAGAAGAAAACATTTATATACTAGTGTATCTATTGTATTTACTTAAATTTAAGTACACTTTAAGTACGTACTTCTGTGCTGCATCTTGTGGCTCCATCATTGGCTGCAGAGCTCCAAGAGACTGTTTTGATAAGATCGCTTCTTTTTACTTCAGTGAAAGAAGGTTAACATTTTGGTTTGTAATGTGATGTATACGCTCTGCCAGCCAGTCTCAGGAGTAGATACATTAAATTATTTAGACTTAAATCTTTAGTTGTGTATATTTTGAACCTAAGGATTATGAAGTAGAGGTATTTATCTCTGGCAAATAATTACTCCGTGAAGTCTCCCTCACATGGCATATCTAAAGTATCACTATTTCCTTCCTTTACATACAAAGAAAAATAATATTTTTCTCTTATTTCATGTTTTCTAGTTTTTGCTTTGCAATTGTAGCTAATGAGAAGTGAGATGTTCAAGGAACTCTAGGGGATGTTATAGCCTTTTGTGTGCCTGGGATTTTTTTAAAATGTGTGTTCTGTATGGTTTGTAAATCTTTGGATTCTGTTAGAGGAGTCTTCAGCAGCAGCAAGCTGTAACGCTCTGTATACCGAAATAAACATAAAGTCCCAATGATGCCGTAATTAATTTGTGAAGTTACCTAGTGTCTGGGAGAGAGGGAAGAAAAGGGAGAATCGGTTATCATCTTAGCAAAATGCTGTTAAACCAGACGGCTTCCCTTTAAGTTGAGTAATTGGAAGAGAAGTGGCTGTTGATGATGTACCGTCCAGAAGAATTGTATAGCTAGGGAAAATACGGATAAATGCGGAAGCTTAATTTGTTTGAGCAATTTACTTGAGCAATTTTGCTGTTCGGTTGAGTTGTACATTCCAGCATATGCCCGTTTCTTTATTCTCTATCTCAACCAACCTTGGGGTGCCCCATTAGCACATTAAACATAGCGCATGGCAAGACAGCTGGAAAGTTGCTATCTCTTGCAAGACAGCCTGCAAACT